TTTTTTAATGAAACAATTCTTTCCTTTTTCTCAGAAATGTCTGGAGAACCAGGTCTAATCTTTCTGGGATGGAGGGGGAGCTTTCCATCAGCTCAGAGATGAGCCCACTTGAATAATTCTCATCTGAATCACTTACTGAATCTTCTACTGTTTTACTAGGTTCCCAGTCATTGTTCAGCCTCCCAGCCTAGGTGGAACTTTACTTTCTAATTAAAAAAAACAACAGGTTTTTTTATTTTTTATTTTTTAAAGTGAACCCAGCCCTTCCAGTCCATGTTGATCCATCACAAAGAAGCAGATACAGGCACCATTTGGTTCCACTGCAGTTTACTATTAGCAGCACACTGAGGTGAGCAGGAAGGAATTTTTCCATACTGCTTTTTTCTCTAAGAGTTTTCCATGTGCTGAGATTAACAGAGTAATAATTCACCCATTTATGTGCTGCAATATCTCCAGCAAGGGTAGCATTTTAAAATTAAATAAAAATCAGGTTGACTCCAAACCAATTAAAACCTTAAAATTAGTATTTTTTTTTTTTTTACTTGCCTCTCTTTCTAATGATTTTTATGATGGGTAATACTGGACTGCATCCTGAAAAACGCTCCCTTAATGGGACCTGAGTCTTACAGGATCAATCCTTTGTTGCTTATAAGGCTTGTTAATATGTTCACTTTGTCTTCTGAGTAAAAAGAAAATCTCTAGTCTTATACCTTGAAATATTGATGACAATGAAATAAAGAACCCTGAACTGGATTCTGAGCTCAGTCCATGTCTGGACTAATGTCACAGACTTCAGTGTGTTGTTCAGAGGCCTTTGAACCTGCACAACTGATGTCAGTGGGAATTCAACCACTGAGTTCAATGGAGCTCAAAGAAGGCAATTGTCTGAAGGTTAAGCTTGTATGTTGCGTTTGCAAGATCGGTGCCTTGATTTCTGCCTATGTTTAGATTCTTAGGCAGCCTCCATCACTTTAGTATATGAAAGTCTCTAATGAATTCATCCTTACAATACCTCTGTGCAGTAAGCAAATGCTGTCAGCCCCATTTTACTGTTTAGAAGCTGAAGCAAAGGGCAAAGAGAGATTAAAGGCTAGAGCCACTAGAGCATTGCAGCACCTAGATTTTAGGTGTCTAGCTGCCTAGTGGAATCCAGAACCTTTAGCTCCTTATACCAGGGTTGTCCAGCTTCTAAGCAGCCAGGTGCCACAGCAGTATAAACAATTTCCCCCCTGGGCTGTACATCACACTGGCAGGTACCCCCCAGCCCCAGCATTGTACACATGGGTGCCCTGTCCTCAGATTCAGCTTCCTGGCTGCAGGCTCTCCTGCTGCGTTGTGCCATGCAGACACCCTAGGCTGCAGGTTCCCCTGGCACTACAGGCTGCACCCACACTGCTCCGTCCTGTCCCTGGAGTGGGGGCAGGAAGTAGAAGCCAGAGGAGAGAGGGAGAGCCTGGACACCTGGGCTGCTGCTGTGGCTGGAAAGATGGGGCAGTGGGAGCAGGGATGGGGTGTGAGATATACGTGGCATCCAGGCTGCCAGTTGGACAGGCTTGCCTTATACAATACATGGGGAGTATCAGTTGCCTAAAAATGGAAACCCCAAAAGCCTGCATGCTGAACACCTCAACATTAACCAGTAATGTTACCTTTTCTGCCTGAGGGGACTTGAACACTTGCCTCCCATGGGATGCACTAAGCACCAGCTTGTAGGGTTTTCAGATAAAGTACTCCATCCCACCTGTTGAAGCTGTTCCACTGGGGTAGAGATATGGAGAGTGAATGAGTACAAGAGCCTTGCTCAGGGGACTTTGCACAGGGCCACCTCTGGTAGGAGTGCTCAGAGAATGTCTACCAGCCTGGGCAGGTGCCTAGTTTGTAAATCCCACTGGGGCTATGTCATGAGAGAGGTGGCAAGCTGCTCAGCACAAGGAGTGCTCAAGTTCACCCTCAAGCATCAGGCAACTTTAGTGTCAGAATCTGAGGTTCCACAGTGTATAGACTGTCAGTACCTCCAGGTTTGGATGGCACCTGTGGGGAGGTTTTGAAGATCTTTATATCCTAAAGCAGTTTGGTGCCTGTCCCTCATTAGAGCAAATATTGAACACATAGTTTGAAAGCCAAGTGAATGTTCTAACAAGTGGGCATTCCTTCCCCTCTACTGCAATTTATTTGTGAAAATGTTTGTATCTTTCCATGGTCATATATCATTTCTGACTCAACTTGTTTCCAAAATAACTGGCATGAGACAATCTGCCAGGACTACGGAAAGCCCCTTGTCCTGCATAACTCCCAATCTGACCTTTCATACTCAGCCAGCTAGGGAGAGCTAGAGAAAGTGTCAGGCCCTCTAAGCATTCTCTCTGGTTAATATGAGAATAAAACTGCTTTCTGAAGCAGTTAACTAACCAAGCCAGCTGTGCTGTGTGTGTGTGGAGTGCAAGCTGTGCAGGGTAACACTATTCATCTCTGTTCCTTGCAAGCTTCATACTGATTTTTTTATGCATCCTCTGTCTTCACTGGAAGTCTGAGGTTTTCCTGCCCCCACATGCTGCTATCTGACCCTCCTTTTGGCTTCAGTTCCTGCATGAATGAAATGCTAGATCCAGGGCAAAGGTAATAGGAGGGCTTCAGTTTGTTCAGATCATAATTACTATTTGATGAGTTAAAGGGCCAAGTCATATTTCTGTTGAAATTGCTGGGAGTTTTACTGATGCTTTGTCATAGCACATTCTGACCACCGAAGCAGAGATCAAATTAAGGTGGACTTAATCTGTGTGGCATCCAGGGACCCTAAATAGTTGAGGTACAAACACAACATACTATCTCACAATCCTTCTGTCCTTGCACTGGTGCATGAATCACATTGTAAATGCTTGGTTCCATGGGAGATGTGCATATCCGTTAATTAAATTTATGACATAGCTATTAAACATTACTCATTAAAACTGTGGTTCTCAATCTTTTTAGACTCAGGGCACCCCTCAGAAAATGCCAGCTCTTAGTTTTCACTAATTTGTTTATTATGGAAAAATAACACAGCAGTTTTTCTGTTGCAAAGAACTCAAAATGATCACAACACGTCAGAATTCTTAACACTGTAGTTCCTTATTTGAAATCATTGCGTGCATCCAGCAGTGGCACATAGTTGTGCTGCTGCTGCTTGTGCCCAGGGAATGCTTGTGCATGTGCGCTCTGATGCATAGTAAGTTGCCCCTCGTGGGGTAGGAGGTCCTGGGGGCTTTCCAGGGCTCCAGCAGTAGCGATCTGGCATACAGAGCCTGGCTGGCAGCTGGAGTGTGGCTCTGGACAGGCAGGCTCTGGTTTTGGGTGGCACATGCTGCCACCATGTGTGCCACCTCACTTTTTTCAGGTGTGAGGTTTTTTTTACACTGGAATCTCCCGGTGTCAAAAAAACCCACCATGATGCTAATTAGCAGTGCAGCAAATGCCTGCACGTCCAGTGCATGCAGTTTGCAGCACCACAGACTGGTTTGTGGCGCCACATAGTGCATGTGTGCACCCATCTGGACGCATCCATTGGGTTTACCTTGTGAATCATGTTTGCACATCTAACAGTGCTAAAGTTGTGTGGCAACCCACAGCACCCCTCAAAGGATCTCAAGGCACCCTAAGGTGTCACAGCACCGTGGTTAAGGATGGAATGGGGCCGAGGGACCTAGTTTCTATTCCTGAGTCAGTGGCGGGGATTGTTCTCTTGTGAATAGGGCAAAGCAGGGCTTGTGTATTCTAGTCCTGGTTTTGAGAAAATAGAGAAAACTAGTACTTGGCATAGAGGACTAGCTGTCAGAATTCCTAATAGCTGTTGCTAGGTGTAAAAAAGGGCATGTCTTCAACATCAGAGGAGAAAATGCAAAGAAATCAGAATCTCCAGAGCCTTGGTTCTGAGGCAACCAGCCAGCACCTCATCCTCCTCTTAGCAGGCTTGTTTCATCTGTATCCTTCAAGCTGCCTGATTCCCAGTCTCTTGCTCTAACCACTAAACTTGTAGGAAAGAATCTGGCCCTCACATCTGTACATGTTTGGCAACAATTAAATCCATACAAAGGATGTACCACCCGAAGCAGAGCAGCGCTCTTTGAAACTGTCATAAAGAAAACATCCTTTTTATAAAAGCATGTGGATTTCTCTCCTGAAATGAAGCTGTGTGACCTAGTTCAGCTCTAGCAAGAGCTCTTCAAATGCCTCACTCAGCAGACACAGTGGTGGGTCAGGCTGTGGCTGAATCATCACTTTTAGTTCAGCAGAGGTTGGAGCTTTCACACTCTTTTGACTTCACGGTTTTTTTATACATGTTACACTGATTAAAATAAAGTTTTGAAATAACTGGAGGAACCGGGTGTCTCCTTTTCTTAACCCTTTTCTTGAATACATCACACCAAGGGAGTTAACAGTGTGGTTAACAAGTCCTTGTCCATTCTATTGTTGGGTTACAATTACACAGCTTGGAAGGAATCTTAACAAGACAGCTGCCCTGAGTCTTAGCAATCACCTTTCCTTTGTAGAAACAGCACATCGTAAATGATTCATCATTCTAAACAGATGAGGGCCAAAAGCTTCACTGCCTTGTACCCTGTGGAACTCCATTTCTTTCTTAACACTCCTCAACAGTGTAGGCTCCTGCTCTCAATTACAAAAGGTGAATGCACCTTGTGTCCTATGGCCAGGGTTTCTCAAGGGAGAGATCTATCTGCAAAGCCAGGTGATGACTGAAGCAAAGAAAGGATCCTTCATGTACAGATCTCTGCATCTCCATCCATTATTCATCCTCATTCCCAGCTAGATGATAGAGAATCCCTCCATGTTGTCTGGGGTCAGAGTGCTGGGGGAGGGGCTGCTAACTGAGCATGGTGCAGAGGTGGGGGAATCATTCTTCAACTTCATGCCAGTTAAACACACACTTAGGGAAGCATAGGCAATCTGATCAGACAGGACATCAGAATAGGAGGATTTCTTATCTCCAACAATGGTAAGCACAAGATGCTTCTTAGATGGTGCCAGAAACCCTATAGTGGACAGTTATGAGGTGTCTTACCCATAGGCTAGTCTCCATCTTTGTTTATGTCATAACCCTAATCAGTAGCTAGATGTTTGAATTGTCCATATAAATATTTAATCTTCTGTTTATTTCTCTGCATAGCTCTGTTTTCCCCCTCCCACCAGCAGACTAGGGATCATCATGGCCAAGAACTCGGGGTCCACCAGAAGTCAGACCCAGAGTACAGAAGTCTGTGCAGATTGCCCTGGACACATGCTGATCCCTGGAGCGTTATCAGATGTGGGACTCAGACCCTTATGGGGAAGGCAGGAAGTCAAAGCCCACTCTGTATTGAGACAAATGGAGGAATCTCTGTAAAGAATTCTCTTAGGAACTTTTTCCTCCAGATTCCCACTCCTACTAGTTATTTACTACAGGGAACGATTTGGGCAGTGGTGTTCACTTTCATGCGTCAGTACAGGAATTAATTAGGGCACAATCTAACTTAGCAGTGGGAACTGGTCTTTATTAGGATCACAGATCAGGTGTGGAGTCAGAGAGAAGCAGAGCTGGAAGGAACCTCAGCTGGTCATCTAGTGGATCTCCTCAAGGCAGGATCATCCCTGACCCAACCAGCCCACTCAAGGATTTATATAGCCTGCTCTTAAAAACTTCCAAGGATAGATATTTCACAGCTTCTCTAGGTAGCCTGTTCCAATGCTTAACCACCCTTGGAGCGAGAGAGTTTTTCCTAATATCAAACCTAAGTTTCTCTTGCTTCAATTTGAGACCATTGCTTATTGTTCTGTCCCCTGCAGCATGGATCAGAAAGCATTGTACTATAGCTGAAACTTTCCTTAAGAAAAAGAGAGACATCCTTCAAAGAAAAAAAAACAAGTGAAAAACACTATGTAGCACTTAAGGCAAGAATGAGCAGCAAGGTAAGAGGGGTGAGGGGGCTGAATACAGAATTAGCCTAACAGATAATGAAGCAGCAGTTTTAACATGCTTTATTATGTCTGTCTAAAAAAAGAAAATCTGCTATTCCAGTGAACTTGAATATTGGAAAAAACCCTGCAAAAATAATTTGACACTCTTAATGCTTGAGGTAATAGAACACAGCCTGTAAAATGGTTGCACAAAGCCAGCTTTGGTCTGCTTTAAAAAGCCTACAAAATATATATGTTTCTGGTAGATACTAATCAAAATTATTTTCACCTAGGCATCACTTATCATCTGTAGGTCCTGAAGGCTCAGATTTCCTTAAGTCACCACTGGTTCATGGAGCCTTAATTATGGGATACTTCACCTGAAATGGGACTTTAGTTTGGAGGGTGGAGACTTGGGACTTCTTGAAAATCAGGCCCTGAAAGGTATCTGGAGTTAGGTATGCTTTTAGTTTCCCCATTCTACAGATGGAGATGTGAGGTACAGAAGGGGGGTCAAGTGGTTTGCCCAAATTTACACAACATGGTAGTGGCAGATTCAACAACAGGGCCTAGTTCTGACTCCCAGCCCTGTGCTCAGCTGCAAAATGCCAATTTATTTTCTTCAGGGCAGATATTATGTCCATACTGTCTATGAGCAGAGAAAGGCAGTTAGCTGTGTTAGTCTGAAGTGAGGCAGAAGGTAGAGGAAATTTATAGCATGAGCTTCAGTGAGCCCAAGCTCACTTCATCAGACATAACTTCTGAGTGCTTTTTGGTGTGATTACGTGAGAGAGAGTATCTTTCCCTGTGCCACAATAGGGAAGGCAGGATTAGTTAGGAAGCTCCTATGTTTATTTCTTAGGTCTGCTTACTTCATGACTGTCAAGAGGAATTTCTCATTGGAGACTTCACCTATAGATGCTCCTCTCTTTGATCTCACTTTCCAGGCTTGCAGAGAACAATGGCCAGGCCACTGATTTTTTTCTGTGCGCACTGTTTGACTGACTGTGTTTGTTTCATTTTGGATTTGATTGTCAGTGTGCAATATGTAATTGGTGTTTTAACTTTCTGCAATTAATAAATGGTATGCATGAATTCCTATCTGTTTTTAGGCAGATTCAGATTCAGTATTTTATGCAAATTAGCTAATTAGAAATCAGTTTAAGAAGAATAATGGGTCACAAAATGTTCTAACTTCAACAATTTTAATAATTGCAGTTTAGTTCTAATTATTTATAATAATAAAGGGCTGGTTAATTTTATTGTAGCATGCTTTTGTGAAAATAATTAAGTCTATGACATGAGACTTCACGATCACATTTGCTTCTGATTTGTTGCTGACTAATATGAATATTAGTGAAGTATAAATCCGGGAGGCTGTAATATCTTAATGGGTCAACTTTATTTGTTTTTTCACTGTTATTTTAAGCTGCCCTGAGCCTTCTTTAGGCGGGCAGTGTAGAAATCAAATACATACATACATTGAAGGGGTTTTTTAAATATTTGTTTTTAAATCAGTAATGGCTAAGAAGAGTTTCTTCTAATCTGCCTGTGAAATCAGTCCAGGTAGTAAAATTATGCCTTTGTAGGTAAAGTTAAGAAAGTGTTTTGCTGGCTGTGTCATAAACATAAATCTTTAAAGAGCATGTCCTGAACTTGTTTTATTAAAAAGCCTAGTTAGAAATGTTATTTGTTTCTGCTCACCCATTTGTTGAAGGGTCTTTAACATGGGGGCCCTCCTTTTCTGCTTTTGCCTACTGTTTGCTGCCAGCTGAGTTCGTTTGAATTCTGCTGCTTTTAGTAGTAAGCAACTTTTTGCAGCTCCAAGTGAGGGGCCTGCACGGTGGAACAGTGGAACTGCTTATTCACAAAGTGCTGTCAAATGCACAAGGAAACAAAATGATAAAGAAAGAAAATATTATTTTCACTCATTTGTTTTAGTTTTATTTGAGGGGCAATAATATTCAAATGAAAATGTGACAGATGTTCTTTCTCTCTCTTGCTAGCATTACTGAAGTTCCTCAGTGATAATATTACATCTTGCTAATAATCCATATCCTGGATTGTAACTTATATCTCTTTACCTAACAAGAAAGCTACTTGCAGCTCTTACATTTTTCACTTTTTCCCACCTGGGGCAGTGACTAAGATGCACCTAGCTATTCCAGGAATACAAAAAAAAATACACATCTTAATAATTTCATACGTGTTGAACCATACTTTCAGAGCATAATTCTTCCCATTCTCCCTACTGTCACAGATCAGACTAGTTAGTGTTGATGCTTTTAAAAATCTCAGACTAAACAAATGAGGATTTCCTTTGTATTAAGTGTCCTGTTTCCTTATTTTACTACATTTAGCTCCAAGCTAAAGATACTGCTTTTGAATCAACAACGATTCATCTCCCTACAGCTGTATCAGCAGCCTGCCTCCTAGGGTTTTTTTTTTTTTTTTTTTTTTTAACAGTCTTGTCACCTTTGTTAAACTGGTTTGCTATAAAAATGCATAATAATTAATACTTCCACTTCCATTTCTAGGTCCTCTGATAGCTATTGCTCTTTAGATAATAAAAATTCTGAAGGTTTGTTCCTTTAAGCCTAACATCAGTGAATAGTTAAAGAACAGTAAGCTTAATTTTCTTTGTTACTGAGAATTCTCTGAAACTTAGGTGCTCTTACTCCAACTTTTCGGCAGTGGAATGGTGCAGTTATGTATTTATGGACAAGTGACTGTGTAAGCATTCCTGTGACCTCTGCGTTACAGGCAGCTGGAAGGGCAGATGGAGGATATGTGCATTAGCCCCAGGGGGTAGGGAGAACCTCACATTACATGAGTGAGCCCTCCAGCCCTATTGCTGATAGATAGAGCAGTGGTGATGATCATTCAAAGGAGCAGCATCCAGGCTGTGTAGGGTCAGAGGGCAACAGCAAAGGATGTAAGATAATGAAGGGAGAAGGGAAATCTTAGAGAAGACTTTTCCCTGCTATTTTCTTAGAAGAGAGTCTGTGGCCCAGAGCTTTATCCTGAAATCTGGCTGAACATTTACATAAATGCTTATATGGAATATGCTTTTGAGGACACTACAAGTTATATCAACATGTAACTACCATCCTAGACAGGCTAGTGCTAAAGAGTAATTTCCTGGAAATCAATACTCCAGATAAAAATGTTTTGCATTCCTTTTTTGACAACATCTCATAGTTCATTCCCATCTTAAAATATTTTTCAGCCGATCACTGACTCCACTGGAGTTACTGTGGACTTTCATAAGTACAATGGACAGTAGAATGGATCCCTTTGTAAAGGCTACTTGTGGGAAGGGAACAAAACAAACCTGAAGTGTAACAGATAAATGGAAACTATGTTTGAATAAATCAGTGTGTCAGATAGAAGGAAGCATTCCACAAACATATAAGAATAGGTATCAGTGTTTTACATTGCTATGGCTAGAGTACAGCCTAGCACACAGGAGTACAGGAAGTAGGAATCTCAGGTTAGATAATTTTTTTTGCTACTGGTTGGCTTTGTGATGTCACTTATTTGCCTTGTGCCCCAGTTTCCTCCTCGGTCAGATCTATGTGAGAGATCTCAGCACTCCACCTGTGATTCCAAGACAATGGCCCAGCAGGAAAAACCCCAGTGGATGAACCTGGGACAATGAGAGAGAGAAAAATAGCTTAATCTGAGGAACTATTAACCAGGGTCAAAATTATCAGATGTGAGCTTAACCAAATGGAAAGGCCTTGCCCTAAGCAGTTGGCAAACACGGAGGCAACACCATACATTAATTCCTGAAAAGAAAGTATTTCTGGCTGCAGGTTGATCTACATGGAACCAGAGACTATCCACAGAAATCAGAGAGAGTCTAGTAAATCCAAATTGCTGTAAAAGAGCAGAGACACAGAGGGGCCTAATTTATTTTCTTTCAATTTTTTTCCATCTAAAGATTTGTTGCAATCAATTTCCCTTCTACCTGAATCACATACTGGTATTTCCCAACAGGCTGTTTGGCTAGACAAGAGTTGGTTCCAGTGACCTCTGGTCCTGGCCAACCTTCTGGTCTGATGGTGATTAATAAAGTGACGTGATTAATAAATAATGATTAATAAATAAAGTAATTGATAATGATAATAATGTGATGATGATGATGATAACGTGATAGTGATGTGTGATTAATAGTGATAATAAAGTGATAGTGATGGTTTCTGAGAGATGCTAGAGATCTAATTAGAGGGCAGAGGCATTATTACTGCTCAGAATTTTTTTGGAACCTGCCAGTTAATGCAGTATAGAAATGATGGTGACAGAATTAATTCAAGAAGGTTAGAGAGAAATCTGCCTTCTTGCCTTGGAATGGGAAGAGAACATGTAGGATGTTACTGGGGGATGGCCAGATATAGGACAGACCCTAACCAATGAATGGAAATTCTCAAGGCGTAACAAACAAGGCAGAAATTTCAGTATTGTTGCAGCTTCTAGGGACATTTCTCCTAGTTCCACTGCTGCAGGCTTGCCAACAAGTAAAAATTATTTATCAAATAGAAACCAAATAGCATTTTTTTCACTGTCATTTGGTTGGTCAGTACAAGTGATGGAAGGGATAAAATGCCAGGGTACACAAATCCAAAACTCTCCTGAAAATATACATCTTTATACATAGGTCTTTGAGCCATCCAAACACAAACACAGGGATACAGACAGCTAAGTATTAACCCTTTTTCTTGTGTATCATTGGATTGCATTTTAACCTGTTCTCTATGTTCCTTGATTCAAGGTGATACCTTGAATTGGAGAAGTGATTCAAGGACACCTTGAGGCCAGCCTGAAGAAATGCAGTATTAGTATCAATAGCTGGGTCCTGAGAGTCAAGCACTGAATCATCCCCAGTAGTGCCATGATGTACAACAAAGCACTGATCATTTTTAGCAAACTTACCCTTCTATGGGGGCAGATAGATGAGAGAGACAAAGGGAAAAAGCTGTGACCCAACGTTTATCAGGTCCTACCAACATCACCAGATTCGCTCCTGCCTTTTGAAACTATTTGCCACATCTGCAATAAAACATGCCGATCTTGAACTGGTCTCATCAGTCATCTACGAACTTACCGATGACATCTCTATTTACTGGAAGACTGTCATCCTTGTATTGAGGGGCTGCCAATGACAATAGCATCCTTTAACTGTCTTGTCAACTTCTAAGTCACTTGGGGAGCTACACATTGATTGAGGAGATACTGAAGAGAGGGTATTTACAATCAGTTCTTAACAATTTAAGACTTTGATACCTCCCAGTCTCCCCAGGATGTTTACCAGGTTCTTGCTGCATTTCAGGTTGGGTCTGACCATCAAGAAATCCCTAGAGGGTTTTCCTTCCATCCTAAAACATCCAGGAAGTATGCAGCTTAGCCCACACAACTTCCACTGTAGAGACTATGTGGTAAGTCTCTGTCACCAGAGAGGTGACCAAGCCTGCTACTCTTCCTTGAAGAACTGGAGAAGGAAGGTTGCAAATTAGACCTCTCAGTTCCTGGTAAAGATGAGAGAAGATATTTGAAAAAAGGGCAGGGCCTCTTTTGGATCTTGACTGTTTATCTGAACTCCTAATATTTTGAAGCCTTGCAAATGTGTTTGGAAATTCAAAGTAAAATTGGCTAAATTTGCTCATTCTGCACACAAGACATCCTGCTTCTTGGGGAGCCCCAGCCTCTCCTCCAAACTGTCTCAGGGACATTCTTGTGGATTCTGGCTGCCTTACAACGTGGCAAGATCCCACTGCCTTGCAGGAGTCATGTGCCTCATATCATCTCACCTCACCTCCTTCATAGCCCTTTCCTTTGTGCCATGATTTTGGTTTTGGAAACAGAAATGCAGTGTTTCAGGATAAAATACAAGTGGGAGTAGGCTAATCTCTCAAATGGAAGGAAGGCAGACTCTCCCTATTGGCTGTTGTCTTTGTCAACTCCTGTTTATAGTTAGTGGAAAGTGACAGTGTATTTAATCTTGTGGTAGGAACAAAGTCCCCCTTTAAATACAAAGCCCTGCCTTAGGAGAGCAGCTCCTCAGAGAAGGTTGCCAGAAAAACAGCCATGGAAGTTCTCATTTATTTTTATGCCTGATGCTACTGTCAAAATCTTTGTTAAAAATTATTTTGAATATTTAATAAATATAATTTCAATATTGTGAGACATTAGAACCCATCATTTTTGCTATGTGTTGTCACAATGTGTTCATGTTTTATGCCAGTGTGCCAAGCATGCAGATTAGTAGTTATGGCCATGTGAAGAAAAAGGAATGCACTTGCCATTCTACTGACAGAATGCTCCGTTGGATGAGCGTTCCACTTGGATGAGACATGAGACTGGCTTCCTTCTGCCCATCATCCGCGTCTGTCTGAGTGCCAGTTAAAGACCCCTTACTACTCTTCTAAAAGAGTTACAAGCCTATTTATAGAGGCATATAACTTACACAAGTTGTCAAATGCTTTTAAAAAAGAGCAAGTGGGGAGACTGCAAAACTGAACTCTTGTCAAGTATTTTATATTTCAGAACTCTCTTTCTGGGAGAAGAAAATACTTGTGTTTAATAAAATGAAACATGGATTAAAACACCCACTAGAGCTAAGGGGGTTTTCCGACCAGAATGCAAACTTCAGGCTCTTTTGTATCATGAATATTAACTAAAATGCTAAATCCAAACATCTCCAAACTCTGCGGGAGTTTGAAGTCAGATCTAAGCTATGGAGCTTTCAGCCACCTCTGTTAAAATAAAAGAAACATTTATCTGGCACAAGAAAAAAAAGTTTGGAAAAGTGTGACAGAAGAGAACTTCTGTCATCTGTCTCTCTTTTTTTTTTTTTTTATTTGTCCTCCAGTGCTTTTTAAATCTGTCCTCTCTGGTATGTGAAGTCCAATGTTCATGGACATTGTCCATGTCATTCCGCCTTTCTTATCCCCTGGAACCTGGAAGAAGTGATGTGAAAAAGGTTCCCACACTTCAGTTCACAATTATAGTAGTAACAGCCAATTAAGGCCATTAGGAATTTTAAGAATGAGATTGGGGCAAGGGGTAGCAGTGCATATTTTGTTCAATAGCCCCTTTTTTCACTAGTTATCCTAATGTGCCATGATCCAGGAGTTAAGTTTTTCAGTGAAATATGTAGTATTTTGTACTGTTCCACTCACTAAATGTTTTATCACATGCCATGTCTTATGGCCCTTGCTCAGTGTTTGAAGGATGCTAATTATGACAGCCTGCTGGACAAGAAGAAAAAGTGCAAGATGGGTATTTTATTTCCTAAAATTGTCATTGTGATGATTTTATGAAGTGATTTTATAAATAAAGCTCTATTTTATAAAGTGACAGTCATTTCATTAAACCATAGCTGCATATCTGCTTAGGGAAGTTGCAAAAACTCCTTCATTGCAGGGTTTTCAAGGAGAGGCTGATCTGTCTGGGATGATTCAAGAGCAGTAACTCCTGTGAGGGATTGGGCTAGATAACTCTTGAGGTGCTGTCCATTCTTGCAATCCTACAGAAATGAGCAGTGGGATGCAAGTCAGGATACCTCTAGTTACTGCTTGTTCTACTGCAGACTCTTCCTGGCCTGAGCAAATCCTTTCACCACATTGCCCCAAATGAGATAACGATACAATGTGAAGATTGATCTGCTAATGTGCACAAACTTCTGACACTGGAGTTTGTGGGAGATCTGCCCTTTATTTCAGTGGGAGCGAATTGGGATCAGCAATTAACAGATTATCTCCATATAACTGATGGGGGAAAACTGAGGCAGAAAGCAAGACTCATTATTAACTTCACAGTGAGATAAGATTGTTAGGACAGCACTTTGAATATGTCTAATGTCAGACTAGTGTCTAGTATTAGTATTAATGAAAAGTAATATAATTTATATGTACATTGGGATATAAGGAAGATGAAAATAAATGAAATGGACTAGATGACCTAATAAGTCTTTATCATCTGTAGAAGTGCTGAGTGATTCTGATCTCATCCTGCTATACTGGCTTAGTTCCATGTGCTTCATTAGAGCTGCTCCTGATTTATACTCTTGTAAGTTGAGATTGGACACTGCTGAAAGAAATACATAATTTCATATTTTGAAGAGAGATCTCTCCAACACACAACCTTTCAAATCCCAAACTATGTACTAGCTTTTGTAGGCAATTTTGAGAAACTCTATTTCCTGCATTCAAATACTTAGATTTATGCAAATGATAATAGTTGAGGTAGGTTTTTATCTTTTTTTTTTTTTTTTTTTTTGAAAATTTTTTTTGAGGCACACAAGAATTTGACTGTCCAGAAGTGATCTAAATTGTGATCCAGTTCCCCTCCAAGTACATGATGAAGGTCTCCGTGGTCAATCCCATACTGAAATGCCATTGACATTCAGCAAAGCTCTAACCCTACACCTCTGCTCTGTACCATAGTGTCATGCCATTGTGTCAGGCCACTGCTGTTTATTTGTACTCTAGTGGCACTTGATTGGCTTAAATTAGTGGCTTTGTTGACAGTCAGCACTGTTTGAATAGAACACTGATAATAGTTATTATTTTAATAATGCCTTAATGACACCCCCTTTAAAGGGAAACAGTTTACAATGAATTGTTAATGCATGACAGAAAATGTGGACTCTCTAGGTAGTAGATGGGTTCTTCCAGCCTAAGACAATTAGTTTGTTTCAGTTGTACCTGTTCATGACCAAACATATCCTCTTGAACCTTCTTGTAAAACTCCTAAGAAAGGAGCGTTACTGGGGAGAAGCATGCAGAGAGGGGAGACTCATTTAGAGTTCAGTGGAACAACCAGTTTGGCCGAGTTTAGACCTGCTTGAAAGACACTGGGCACGTCTACACAAGATGCTACATCGCCGTAGTGACGAGCTATGGTGACGTAGTGTTGGTGGGCACGAACTGTGACGCTGCTGTTACTGTGCAGTAGGGTTGGAAGTGCCCCATGCAGTGCCAAGACTGTGCAGTACCAGCAGTTACTAAATGACTGCACAGTAACAACACGTGTAGACGTGCCCACTGTGCTGAGTTTACCAAACTTTAACTTCTTTTTGATATATTAAAAGCATGTTAATAGTAATCGTATCTCCCAAATCCTGTCCTGATTATAGCAATAAATAGAATGTAACAATATCTAATGCATACATCTAAATTGAGTAATATTGTGAGCTTCAGGAAAATCTTCTTTGACTTCACTGGGTTTTGGATCAACGGCTATTTAAGAAATGATCCAGAATATTAAAATGTTTTAATGCAGTGATGTACTCCTGCCTCAGTATTTAGTCCTCATGTTCATTTCTGTTATATAAGCCATTTTATTAAACCACAGTTGACTATCTAGCCCCACCAGAAGCCAGTGCATGGCATGTAAAGTTGGATGACATTTTTTCCGCAAATATTAAAGGATTCAAAAATACAAGTTTGAGGGGACTGAAACTGTTCACACAGGTGGTAATATCTTCCACTGAAAAGGCATGAGGTGGAAGGGAGGAGGATTTTGAAACAGCCCATATGTTTTGTTTCAATAATTTCTAAATAAAATATTTTGACATTTAATTTCAAAATGATATTTTTTTTCAAACTCAATCTCAATAGTTGAGAAAATAGATGTAAAATATGGTTAAATAACCTGAAAACTAAACAAACCATTTGATCTCTGGTTGAAAGACGTGTTCCAAGCCATCCAGAAATGAAATATTTTAGGTGTTTGGTTCATCAAAAAACACAAAATACTTGGTTTCACATCAGCCCAAGTCAACATTTTTCAGTTTTTCAGTTCAGCCACTGAACTGAAAGATCCATTATTCACTCAGCTCTAATGATATGCCAGTCATTGTAGTGTTTTTTTTATAATATAATTACAGGGGCTTGGAAAAATAATTAAAGAGTTATATCCAGAAACAAGGATTTGATTCTGAAATTAAAAAAAAATCAAATACGTATGGGGAAGAGTTGT